TATAAGAAATACCCATTTGTCCACCACTAGCATTTTTTAATCTGTGCGTGGTTTTATAAAAATATCTAGAAAGTATTACTCCTTTTATACAACTTAAAACAGCTCCACTATCAAATAAAGCGACAAACTCTTTTTTGAAATTATAATCAATTAAAAGAGTTACCTTTATTAGGAATTTTTGAGTAGTAAAATAATGGAGTTTTTGCAAGAATGGGGTCGGGTTTATAAAATCAGAAAAATGAAGCTTCGAAACAGGTTATGTGGTACGCATAATCATTATGCGGTCGCATATGCGACCGCATAATGATTATGCGTACCACATATCGGTCGCATAATCGGTGTCCAATACTAGCAAACATCTGCCTGTGTATGCAGTCACTATGCGGTCCGCATACCTGTTCTGCGGTCGCATAGTGACCGCAGAACAGTTATGCGGTCGCATAGTCGACCGTAGATTTCATCCAAACTCGCCCTCTTCTGCCTCACTTCTTCGGCCATTATGCGGTCGCATAATGGACCGCAGAAACGTGTTTTTTCGCCAAAATATTTCCTTTACTTTCCGTTACATTGTTCAACCCAAAAAGTCTGAGAAATTTCTACAACCTTTATACTAATTAATCTATCTCGATACCACAAAACCTTAATTTCCTTAGCAAAAATTCTCCGGGTCACTATACATACGTCAACATCTGGTCAACCTTTTTAACTAAATTTCGAAACCTTTGAACTAGGTGTTTCAAATCATTCAAAAACCTCACCGGACCCGAATCAATTACCCCCGACAAGTCACATAACAAATGTAAAGTATAAATTGAGCAGTAAATGGGAAAACAGGGTTATAATACTCAAAACGACCGGCCGGGTCGTTACAGTACACTGCCGAGGGATGTGCGGTNCCAAAAGTTATATAAAATAATTAATATATGTTCAATAATTCGAAATTCATCTATTAAATAAAGTACCCTATCCAAAATGATAAAATTTCTAAAATTTACCCCGGGTCCACGTGCTCGGATTCTGGAAATGTTTGGATAAAAACGTTACCCATAATCTCAAGAACTTGAATATATAATTTCAACCCAATTCCATAACTATTTTCGTGGTTAAAATCTCATTTTTATAAAAAATCTAGGGTTTTCATCTAAATCTTTGATTTCTAAGATTTACTAGATATAATCTACTTATATTCTATGTATTTAACTCAAGGGGGTGTAGAATTAACTTACCTCTAAGTTGTTAGTTGAAATCTCCTCTCAAAAAGCTCCAAAATCGCCCAAGAATGGAAGAAAATGGGTTAAAATGGTGAATTCCCGTTCTTTTAAGCTTTCTGCCAAACAGGTCTTTCGCACTTGCGGAGGTTGGAAGGCACATGCGGCTCCGTACCTGCGAAAAAATCCTCGCAGGTGCGAGTTCCACTTGCCTGGCCAATTCTCGCATTTGCGCACACAGCTTCGCACCTGCGCATTCGAAGATGCGCAAATCATCCGCATCTTCGGTCGATTGCCCCCTTCGCTTTTCCGCTTCTGCGCTCAAAAACTCACATCTGCGAGGTTCGCTTCTGCGAGCTACTGCCACATCTGCGAGTGTCGCACCTGCCACTGGCCAAGCGCAGGTGCGATGCTGATAGTAGCTGAGAGCTTCAGTTTTGGCTCCCAACTTCCAACTTGGTCCGAGCCTCGTCCGATTAACACTCGGGGCCCCCGGGACCCCGCCCGAACATACCAACAGGTTTGAAATCATAAAACGGACTCGCTTGAACTCTCGGAATGTGTAAAACAACATCAAATCTAAGAATCTTACCCTAAACCAAATTGATTCAAACTTAAGAATTTCAAGTTCTTCAATTTACTTCCAATGCGCCGAAATATACTTAAACTACTCGGAATGACACGAATTTTTGCGTGCAAGTCTTAAATCACTATACAGAACTATTCCCAAACTCGAAATTCCAAACGGACTTCAATCAAAAACCTACCCCCAAACCAAATTTAAAGTATTTTAAACTTTTAAATAGTTGATTTTTACTATTAATCGTCAAAACGCTCCTTGGTTATCCAAAACTCGATTCGTACATATGCCCAAGTCTAAAATCATCATACGAACCTATTGGAACCGTCAAATCCCGATTTCGGGGTTGTTTTCTCAAAATATTGACCGAAGTCAAACTTGGCCTTTTAAGGCTAACTTAAGGAACCAAGTGTTCCGATTTCAACCCAAACGCTTCCAAATCCCGAACCAACCATCCCCGCAAGTTATAAATTAATAAAAGCATGTTCGGGGAGTTTTATTTTAGGGAACGAGTTTCTAAAATTCAAAATGAGCGGTTCGGTCATTACATTGACATCAGAAGGGGGTTGAATACTAGTGGTAGCGATTTGCTCTTTACCCTTAGTATTCTTCTCATTAAGTTTTTGGACTTCAGCTATGAGCTTGTCAAGTCTTTCATGAATACAGACTATATGTTCACCCAAGATACTAACATAACTATTCGTATAATTATTCTGGGTAAGCATATTATTCAGATGTTTAGCAGTTATAACATCAGTATCGTTTTTAAATAATTTTGAAAAAGCATTAAAGTAAACTACTTTATCTTTTTCTCCTATTTGAAAAGATGATTGTTGAGGTGGAAAAACCGATTTTGTAATTTCTCCACCAGTGAGTTTATAATCTCTTTCTAAAATCGAAATATAATTATGAACATATTTCGACATAAACCAAAAAACAAAAGCAATGATTTTATTAAACTTGCCGACATCATTATAAAAATCATCTCTAAAAGCATTTTGTACTTCTTCAGTAAAGTTTTTAAAAAATTATTTTCTGAAAAGTTCCCATCTGGGTTTTTTGAATTCTTTACAAATCATTTTCCTTGCCGGAGATCCCGGACTAAATTTTATTTGTTTTTTATCCATAAAAATATTTGAAAATTAAGGTCCAGTAAGACCATTTGAGAAATCCATTTCGGATTGAGTGGGGTCAGGGTCTGAATCTATTTTAACAATATTATCCTGACTTATTCTAATATTATCTCTAACTTGTGAAATAGATGCTCTAGAACGAAAATCTACCATATAATCAATGGGCAAAATATAAGATGAGTTAGATCTAGTTATTCTAGATGATGAACTTTCGGTCGGTAATATTATTAAATTTATATTTTAATTATTTTAAAATTATTTTTTCGACCGAAGTCAGTCGAAAATATTTAATTATAACTTATTCCGGTTGGTTAATTAAATATATATAATTTTTGTTATATTAAAAACTAATTGCCTTGGGTGGGAAATAATAATTTCAAAATTTCCGACCGAATTCGGTCGGAAATTAGGAAATATTTTAATAAAAAATTATTTTTGTACATTATATACAAGTATGACCAGGTGTTGGTCAAATATTGACCAATTTTCGACCGAAATATGTCAGAATTTTTATTTTTTTGTTGTGGGACCACTATTTCCGTTGTCAGAAATATTTTTGTTGACTTTTGCGACCAATTTAGCAATTTTCGATCGTTTTCGATCGGGTTTTTTTCCGATCGATTTCGGTCGGTATCCCTTGAACGAAATATGCCAGTTTTCTAGTAGTGAGCTTGCTTCACAAAGGCAACTATCTAGCAGATAAGCCTGGGTCTTTTTCTGTAAAAAACTTATTTAAAGATGTTTGTAACAATTTTGTCTAGCTTTGAAAATCTATGTGCCCAAACAAGTACTATTATATCGTGTTATAGGAACTTTAATGAGACATCTAATCTATGTTCAAATAACTATTCTAGTTTTTGGAATGATTCCCAATGAGACATCTAATTTATGTAATGGTAGTATTTACCACAAAAAAAAGTGACTCCTCACTCAATTATAGGAACTCTTAAAAGACACTATTGGATGCAATCTCTTTGGTGACTTAACGTACTATTATAAATAAAATGCCAAACATTTAATTAACATTTCAAGGAAAACAATGCAAAAGTTACTAATTAATTTTTTCTATACTGGTAAAATATTTTATATTTCGTATTTTTGGTGGATCCTGATTTGCAAATTTAGATCTTATTTGCTTATGAAAAAGATGTCGACTAGTTCATATTAATCATTGCATATAGTATGTTGATAGGTACATAACGCTTTATTTTTCTTTTTGGAAAGAACATAACGGTTGGATTTTTGTCCTGACACCTCCCTGTTGTTTCTGTACCTCAAAGTCTTGCCCCTTTCAGTTTCATAAATAATGTAATAAAAATTACTTATACAATTGAGGAAGATAATCAGAAGCTCAAAGGCGTTAGTCTGCAATTGGAGATTTTGCGTTTTTTGAAATAAAAGTATTTGTTTTAAAGAGTATTACTAACTTCTTTTAGGATTCCCAAATTCGGTTTTTCATATCTGATCACGTCCAACTCTAGTCCTAAAAAGGATAAGCGTTCGTTGCAAATATAATCCGGTCTAAGACTCCAGAGTCGAATCCCACAGAGAACTAAGATTTAGCTGCAGTTGTTCACTATCACTAAAAATACAAGTTCGAACAATTTCTAAGTTATAAATATTAAGATTATTATGTCTAACTAATTAACTAACAAACTAAAATATTAAATTAACAACTAGAGATGCTAAGGGCCGGAGACAAGATTAACAAGGCCTAGAGTTATGATTTTTCCAATTGTCGAAATTCTTCCCGCTACGTCTTTATAATTTTTCGTAAGTATTCACCACTGATCGTGAGCACTTCAGTTGCCGTAATTCTCTCCCGAGCAACTATAATAATTTACTAGACATATTCTCCCGAATTACGCTAGCTGACACTATCTTACCGCTTACTATGGCCACGTCAAGCCCTTGTTATTCCTAAGCCCACCTTTAAACTTGTCGTATTGATTCCTCACATACGTTAGGAGTGATGTTATTCAACAACCACCCAAATATGTACTCTTTTCCAAACAATACATAATAAATAGGCACCGTTAATTGAGAGCTTTTTTATTAACTAAAATAAGCGCGTAGTTGAACAAATAGAGAAATCTAAAGGCTCAATTATAACAAAATATATCAAGAATTCATCCTACAAAAGGTTCCACCAAAACCCTAGAAAGAAATTTAGCTACGCATAGTCACGCTAACAATCATGTTAATAATTGAAAGCATTAATACAAACTAAGGAAGAACGGAAGAAGAACTTGTGTGATCCGGCACTTGCAATTGGTCCAGCCATCTTTCGCCTCCCAAATAATGTCTCTTTAAAAACTGTTTAAGAAGGTGTTTATATAGTTTAGGGTTGGTATGAGATGCCATTTTCCAAGCCAAAGTCGGACAAGCTGTTACAGCCTTACAGGTTAGCTCGTTCATTCACTTGTGTGCATGCGAGAATGAACGGGCGAAGTTTTTCTCTTTTTCTTTTCCTTCCAGCTCTCTCGTGCACTTCTTCGCCTTTTTGCCTTAAGAGAGTGAATATGCGAAGTTCTTCTTTTGTCTCTTGGTCCCGAATCAACTTCTTTTGCTCACCTTTCTTCCAATTCGCTCCTACACATAAGAATGCACGTAATGAGCATAATTCACAACAAAAACTCATGTAACCTTCCGCAACTACACATGTTATGAGATGAAAGTACACTCGAAAATATGCATTTTTCACCTTTATCAATATCATTCAGAGTTTTGAAATATTTGAAAAATTAAGTTTCGAAATCCTTAAAAAGAAAGTTACTTTTATACAAAAACTTCTCAAGCAAATATTTTTTCCAAAAAACTGAAAAACTGAGTTTTCAAATTCTTTTTGCAGACCTTTCCCGCCGACTCAAACAAACACATATCAGCAACATTTTAGTAGAAAATATCAGGGTGTAGCAGTGGACAACAGTATTATATGATAGATAATTTTCAAGACAATTGTTTAGTCCAGGTTAACAAAAGAGTTTTATTTCATTTTTATAACGGTACTATAATTTTGTCTTATTGTTTTATGGATTGACTCGTCTGCCTCAGCCGACATAATATTAGCGACTCCAATATTAGTATAGAACCCTCTTGGATTTATTTATTTTTTTTAAAAAAAAAAGAGGTCTATATAATCCAAAGGAAGAATAGCCGCCAAGAAAAGTAAAGAAAACAAATTCTATCACGTACACACACTAATTAATCGAAGCCGGCTTGATAATTGAATAAACAATTACGTTTAGAAGCTAAATAATGCGGTATCTTTTGTTCTTCACGTATTTCATGCCATGCGTCATTATAGTACGAAAATTACATTATACAAACTTATAATATATTACTTTTAAAAAGGAAGAAATAAAGGACGTCATAATCACAAAATTACGATTTTTTAATTAAAAAGGTCCTTTCGGGGACATCCGATGATTAAAGAAAATAAAAGACCAAAAAGGATGATGTTGTTGAATTATTTAAATCATTAAAATTAATACGCATACAAAAACTGTTTACCTTTAAAACGGTATAGTAAAATTTATATGTGGTTTATAGACAAGTGAATCGATTTGATCCCAAAAATAACAAATAAATTAAACAAGAATGTAAGACTTAGCGTTGAAATTAAGATAAGACAGCAGGAATCCTGTTTTCGGGAGCAGAGCTACCGGAGGCAAAAGTAGCGATATTAATAAGCAAGAAGATAAAATATTATCGAGCTTTGAACAGTGAATAGCATAAGTTTGTCAGAAAATTCTCTCTCTAGAAATAGTTATCGGGCTCACTATTTATAGCTGCACCTAGGGAACAAAGTCCTAGGATCAAGCTCCTCTTAAATGGAAATTATGAGGGTCATTGAAGAATGTGTAATGGTAGGCAGTGAATGTCATATTCTCTGTAACGGATTATGTACTTAATGCTATAAAATATTCTCCATTAAATGCTACCGGGTAACAAGCATTTATTTCATCTTTATGAATATCATTCCCTTCGGAAAAAAATGAGATTGTTGCCTTCGGACCTGATTGCCTTCTGCTTTCGGCTCCACGTGTCGCTTTATTATGCGAGTATTTAATATGAACATATTTAACCCTATACATATAGTCCCCCTGCTTTCCGGTGGCACATCCTTGTGTCACCTGGAAGTTGGTAAAGATACCTTTCTTGGGGGAAATTCTCTGACCCCCTCTGAAAAGTTTCTGACGGTTGATTAGACGCACGTCTCTTCGCATTTAATATCCCGAACAAGCGTCATACCATGATTCAGCAACACTTTTTCCGGTTATCGAGCTAATTATGGCCACGATTTTAGCCGCCTATTCCTTTACTTATACGCATCAACCTTCTCCTTTAACACTTTCAAAATTTTCCAAACTCTCTTTACTCAACTCACACTTGTTTTCCATTCCTCTAATCTTCTTCTTCAGAGAAAAAACACTTATTCTCTTCTGATAACAATGGCCTCCTCTTCGAAAAATTCCAGTACTTCAAAGAACAAAGAAAGTACCGATGATGCTGCTCCTCCCACGGTGAGCACCATCATTCCCAGAAATCTTACTACAACTAAGGATTTCGAAGAAAAGTACCCTTCTGCTAACCCCAGCACATGGGCTGTTGGCGTGTATCCTTCTTCCATCCGTCCTTCTAGCATCCCTGTTGTGAAGGAAGACAGTGGTTGTCAAGATTTGAACATCATCGCTCCTGAGCTGGCGGAACAGGTAACCTTCTATAAGAAGGGTTTTATGTATGTTTATACGTACCCCTTCACTTTGCGCCCGTTCTTATTGAGTAGGGGGCTTGACTCTCTTATCTTGGAGTTTTGCCTCCGTTACCAAGTCTTCTTGGCACAGGTGAGCCCTTCTGTGTGGCGAACTATTACTTGTCTTTGGCGTCTATGCCAGGAGACGGGAGAAGAGCTATCCCTAGCTCGACTGATGAACCTTTATTCCCCCAAGATTTTTCGTGGGGGAATGATAAACTTCAGCAAACGTGGTCACCATGCTTTGCTAACCAGCATGGACGATGACAACGACCGTGGATGGATGGAGCGATTCATTGTAGTTGCCACCAGGGAGATCATCCCGGCCACGACTCCATCCGTTCCTGAATCATGGAACCGCACTCGTAAGTTCATCGTATGTCTTTCTTCAAGTTAAAGATTTCCCAATGCTAGAATTGATCCTTCTTCTTTCACTATCTCAGCATCTCGATGGATACCACCAAGGATTGAAGGTTTGGACCAGTGGGTCCAGAAAATGTTGGATGTCACTACGCCCGAGACCCGCAAGTGGAAAGAACTGGCCCTTAAATACGGGTGGAAGGCCAAAAATCATGGTAAGTTGAACTTATCTTGTTTTTACCTTTCGTATAGGAAAACCGGTTAACTTTTCTTTCCTGTTGAATTCAGATCTTCCACAGGGCTCTGTTACCATCTCCTAGGAGGACGTTTTGGCAGATCATGCTGATGCGGCGAGGTTACTGCAGGAGGCTTATACCCGAACTGGTGTCACCGGTCCTGCTTCCGGAGCAGGTGCTTCTTCTCGGAGTCCCCAGCTAGAGAACAAGCAACAAAAAAGGCGACGTTCCTCCACTGCCGAGGGCAACAATAAAAAGGCGAAGAGCGCCACACCCGAGCCATCTACGGACGTTGTGGTGATGAGCGTCGCGCCCGAGTTAGCCATAGATACTATGGTGATCGATGATGATGGAGGAGCCAGTGATGATGGGGCTTCTCTACATAGAAGATGACGACCTTCATCAGTTCAACAGAATGATCAATCTGTTGAGCTAGTTATGCCAACCGAGGACGACGTCCCGGCACTCTAGGGGGAATATGATGTATTGGAAGAAGATAACTCTTGCTTTCGAGTCCCAGTAGCTCTTCCCGGTACCGTGAGGCTGGGTACCGAGTCTCTCCCGTCTTCGGTTGATGAGCAACCAATAACTAGCACTGCTTTTGTCGTGGTTGCTTCTCAACCTACAACGCTATCAACTTCATATCCTTTTTTGCCAACTTTTCCTTCGCCACCAACAACTGCTACATCATCTCCACTGGCCGCAGTCGTTCGAGAGGAGGATGTCCCTTTTCCCCAGTCCCATTTCATGGGAATTTGGGGCATAATTATTTTACCCCCTCCGAAGATCCTCATAGGAGGAGGAGTGTTTCCCTCTCAGTTCAATCGGATGCCACCTACTGTCCCGGCCGGTGGAACTTGCTAATTATCTGAAGCCTCTGGCTTCAAAAAAGGATAGGAATAAAATACAATCTCTCTCGACAGAGTGTTTGTTGAACAAGGCCATGAAAAATGCAATGGCAGTACAATCTTTGTCTCTATTGTTTCTTCTATCTTTGTTATGGCAGGGTTTTTAGTTTGCACTTCTGTTTTGCAGGCTAACTTCCTTGCTTCCGAGGTCCTTCAGAGGTTGATCCTTGATAAGTAAAAACTCACCTCCTAGCGGGATCAATTGTTGGCCGAGCGGGATCAAATTGTTGCTCGCCTCCCAGTACTGGAAGCAGAAGTTGCTAAGCCCGCTGAGTTAGAGGCTCGATTGCAGCAAAGTGAGCAAGAGGTAGTGACCATTGGCCAAGAGGCCACCCTTTTAAGGGTACAATTTGAAGAAGCTAAGTGGGTCGAGGTCCAGAATGTCGTTCTTGCTGCATCCGATCGCGAGGCTGTCTCTACTGAAAGATTGAATAATTTAGAGGTAGCCTTGAACTCCAAAGCTGAAGAAGTTGCTTCCGCCGAGGAGAAGTATGATTGGTTGGAAGAGAGGCATAAGAGAGTCATGGAGCAAATAATGTTTTTAACTCCATTGTCCGTGACCTCGATGTCAGCCTCCAGGCTGCTAGATATGAGCGGGATAACCTTTCGACCAAGGGAAACCATCTTAAAGAAGAACTTCAGCGCCGAGTGACTTCCCTCATTATTTAAAAAATATATTCTATGTACAACATGAGGAGAAAAACCTTGGAAGAGGCCAAAGCGGGCGTCATTGACTTTGATGCCGAAATTGCCAAGGCCTGTGAGTTGGAGTCAACTGCCCGAAGGGGTCTTCCGGTCCAACCTATTGCTACTGACTTTTCTAGTTCCAGTTTCGAGTTCTCGGGAACTGAAGAAGAACCTTAAGGGGATGATGGTGAAGGCCAAGATATTGAGCCGGCAGCGAATACGCCTTCTTCTCCTGGGGGTGTAGACGCTTCTCTTCCTGCGGATTCCGGGGATGCAGTAGCTTAACTTTTTCTTTCTGTTCACTTTTCTTTTCTTTTCCATACTTTTGTTCCCGTGCTGCTTGGCACGTTTGTTGTATGTAAAAGTATTTTTTTGTTTAAGTATTACGCAAGTTTTCTCTTTGCGTACTTTTCGTTTAAGTATTGAGCAAGTTTTACTTTTTGCGTCGAGTTATGCGAGGCTTCGGGTGTGTTTTTCCCTGATAGAATTTGGATTTTGGGCATAAGTTCTTTCGGGATCAACCTTTTACCATGAGGGTTTCATAAGAAAGGGCCCTCTTATGTTTACGGTGCTCTTGAAGAGGACGTCTCATGTTCATTTCGGTACTAGCATTTGAAGTACTTGTTTAACTTTTAAATGATAAAATTAACTCATCGTTTGGACAAGAAACAAGATAAAAATAAAAGGACTTTACTTTATTTCTTCCATTTTCAAAAGTACATAAGCATTCGTTGTGCTAAAAAGAAATTTCCATTACTTGTGGCTAACTTGTACAACTTATTTCTACGGGGTTGGCCGCGCAGTCCCTGGTCCCGATGATACAATTTTTTTTCCGAATTTCGTAGTCCCGGTCGATGTGGCAGTCATTGTTGCCATATTCTTATATCATTCCCCCCAGTGTTCGAATGCGAAGAATGCGAATTTGAACACTGGAAGTCTTGTTCCTTTGAAGATTCCACTAGTGAATGGTTGGATAATCTTTAGTTCGATAGCAAGCT